TCTCCCCCCCTGTGTGAGAGGCAACCTGTGCGTTACTGTCCTCTCTGCGGTACAGACAGCAAGGCGGTCAGTTGTCTCTTTTCTACATTCGCGCACAGAGGTGCTGGTAGTCCCTACACTAGAACCTTGAGCATAGGACATCATGCATTGGCGGTTGCACATGTGACTGCACTGGCAAGAACCTCAAAGGTTCACCCTGTGGTACCTATGCTGTGGCTGGTGGTTCTCCCCCCCCTGTGGTCCTGTGGTTCTGGTAGTCTTGTCCATGTGGTTCTGGTGGTATATTAGGAGGGTGTGGGCATTCGTAGATGATCCTGCTTCATATGCCATATTATCATTTAATGCTCTTACTGTGATTATTCTAATGATTTTGGACGCAAGTTTATTTGGAGGTTCCTGTAGTGCCAGCTTACAATGGAGCCTAAGTAAAGCTATAGCCCCAGGTATCAACATCACGAAAGTCTAACAGTGACGACAGTTACAAGGATCGCGACCCCGGGAGGCCCCTTCCCTGTGACTGTTGGCGCTTAAAACCACACGGAGGTTCAAAAGTGATGACAGTTACAAGGATCGTGACATTAGGGGGCCCCATCCCTGTCACTATTGGCACTTTTGAGACGCGACGAAAGCATGAGGAGCCAAAAGTGACGACAGTTACAAGGATGGCAACTTTGAGGCGTCAAAAACGACGACAATTACGAGGATCGCGACCTCCAGGGGCCCCATCCCTGTGAATGTTGGCACTTTTGAGGTTTGGGCTGGGGGGACCATACCATGGGGGTGGGGGGGTGGGTAGGATCCCCAGGACCGGGAACATATATGTATATATATATATACATATGTAGAAGAAATGTACGGCTGGGACCCCGGTTGGTCAGAACGCTACAAGCCAGTTGCATGGAACTCTTTGCTTGGGTTTCGTGTGGTTCGCCAGTGCATGTGAGTTTGGCAATGTGATCATGAGAATCTAAGAATGAGCGGCACTGTCAGTCCACGCAGCATTCTCAGAAATTGACAGGAAAACAACGGAAAGTACTATGCTCTTCGCACAGGCAACGTCACATCTCCTCTCTGAGTGTGTGCAGCCCGTGTCGAAGTTTGGACACGAGCAGGACAAGCACAGCTGGACATCTCCTGTGTTCGCAATGTTCGCAATATTACATGACATCCGGCACATGGTTGTTGCAGCATCGAGCACAGCACGTATGTAAAGAGGTTTTTACACCTTTGACTGCAGTTTGCAGAGATTTGCAGAGATTCAGCAGTGTCAGGTTGCCAGCCTGCGTTGGCGAGCCCATGCCTTGCAAAGGCCAAGAGCTTGGAGAGTTTGGCAGTTGCTTCTTGGCAGATGTTTCCAAAAGCGACTTAGCCTGGCAAACTGTAGAATTTGTGATGGACCCATGGGTCAGTTCAATCATGGCACTCCTGAAACCTGGAAGAGGCTTTTGAACGCGCAAACGTGCGGTTCAGCACTGGGCCATGCAGCCTTTCAAGGCACATCATTCAGCACAGTATTCCTGAAGCTCTTCTGAAACGCAAGTACTGTGAGCCCTCAACTCAAGAAGAGCTCGTGTGTTACTCTCTCTGTGAAGCGACGGCTGCGAAACACAATATGCTCAAGTGCCAGGGGGTGGTACGCCCCACGCGACGGAGGCAGATTACGAATCTGAGGGTGCAGCAGTTGTAGCCTGCCATGTGCATCAGCTGTGTGGCACGAGAGTGGCTATGGTCTGCAGTGACATCCAACTAATGCCAAGCATCAACCAATGCTCCAGGTTATGCGCAGCACTAGAGAGGCGTTGCAGCGGCAGAGGATAGAGACGAATGACCAATGCAGGAGCTCTGAAATGTTATCACATCTTGTGATGGATGCAGTCCATCTGCTATCAACATGGTGAATCGTCCCTGTGCACTTTGCTCAAGGAGGTGCCAAGAAGAATGCCAGGCACCAGGGCAATGTCTGATTCCATGGTGGCAAAGCTGTTTGCAGACCTTGAGGGGCTGCGGCATTGGCTGCAGGCCATCTGTGATGTGACTTATTCAGTTGTTGAGAAATTTCAGGATGACTTGGCCACTTGAGGATGATCAGAAAAAGTCTGCGGTTGGCAGCGATTCCATGGTGAAGGCAACGATGCGTCTGTGCTCTTGTAAGGACACAATGCTAGGAGAAGCTTTAATTTGGTGGCATCAGGGAGAGAGAAATCCAGCAGCCGTCTTGAATGTATTGGGACACCTTTCACAATTTCACATGAATATCCAGAGTGTGTTGCAGCCGTCAGAGGTCTTTCATGTACAGCTTGTAGTGAGTGGCTGCAAGTGGAAAAATGCACTGAGGAGGCGCTCAGAGCTTTTGCAGAGGGGGCCGTAGCCACCTGGGCTCGCGAGTTGCAGGCATGCTCCAGGCGATTTCGCTTGCAGCTTGCAGTTGTTGTGCACGGGAAAGCCCCAAGACATCAATAATTCAGAGAGCACCTTGTGGATGCACTTCTTGTTCTGGAGGTGTGTTGCGCACATGGAAGAAAAGACGGAGAAGATGCAACAGCTGTTTGCAGCAAGACCAGCGTTATCCAAGGACACTTGCGCTTCGACTTATTTCATCCTCAGTCGGATTGGTCTAAAGCTGTTTCCTGTCAGCATGGATGCGTGGCTGAATTGAAGCTGAGGTGACTTGTCAGCGGCATCCTGGCATGAAAAAAGTACTTGACGTGCAGTGCCTTCAGTGAAAGCATCCTAAACTCAGGGCAGTCTGGAGCGCTTGCAGGGAGCAACTGCACTGCTGCGTGCCTTTGCCAGGACCCAAGGGGTGCCCAGAGAAATCCCCTCGGAAGTGATGGGGCAGGGAGTAGCACCAAGGAAGAGGCTGTCAGAGACTGGAGGCGGCTTGTTGAATACATCGCATGCTGCAAGCCTTCCACACTTCGTGCAGTTTGCAAGGACTCCAGCTCCATCAGAGTTGTCCGCACTTCGCAAGTCCGCTGAGGGTTGGAAGTCTGTGCACACAGGCACAGGAGCACATATGTTTCACCCAACTGTTCACACGCCACAAGTATGCCAAATTGGAGCGAAAAGAAGAAGATGCATCCCCTTGCACACGCACGGGCTGTCTCAGGCTCGTCGTCGTTGCGGTTTGAATATGAGCACATATGAGCGTGATGAGATAGGGTACACGGAGTGGAGAACACTGCTGGATGCCAGGTTTGGTGGCTTAGAGTCAAAGGTTTGGTGCCTGCACGTCACGGTCGAAAGTGGCGCAGAAGGCTGGGCCAAGCAGATGCCACTGTTCGGCTTCTCTCTGCAGTATGTTCCCACTGCAGCCTCCCTTCGCGACCCGAACTGACAGCAGTGGAATTCAACTTCGCGCCAAAGCACGAGCCGTGTAGCATGTACTGCACTTTCGACATTTAATCTTGGGCTTCATCCCTGCGACAAGCATATGGATACTGCCACATAGACCACAGACCAAAGAGGGCAATGGAGTCTCCCCACACAGAATTCCTCTACATTACCTTGGGAGGTGGACCGGTCGAACTGCTTGTGGGCGTTCCGCCATGCCCAGACGGGGTTCCCACACGTGCTAATAATGAGCGGGAAAAAAGGAAAAACACGCCCAAAGTTTCCATGCCCCTTGCCCGTTTTATTTAGATTATGGTAAGGGTGGTTGACAAGTTGAGTTGTTCGAATTTTCAGCCTTGGCTCCGGGCTGGCTCCGGGGGGCTTTGTCGCCATGTCCCGGCGGAAGCGAGGCCTGGCCCCCAGCAGTCACCACCGCTATCCACCGCTCGAGTCGCTCGGAGATCCGACGACATATGGTGTCCTTAAGCTCAGGTGCCGCGCTTCTCTCGGGTGCTTTGGCTGCCCTCGCACTCGCGCTTTATGCGGTGGGAAGGCGTGAAGGCTCTGGACTTCGCAGGGCATGCAGCTGGCTTGCTGCTAGGCTGGCCGATGGCAATGAAAGCCTGCCCTCAGTGGAGTTCTGAGACCCAACTCTGAACCCCATGCAGCATGTGCCAGAAGCCAGATTCCAGGTCTTCGTGCCCTCGCCGCTCGCTAGATCACGTCGTGGCCCTGAAGAGCTGCCAAATGCCATGCGCTGCCTTTCCAAGCCAAGCATCTTCCCAAGGCTCAGCAGCCCGCAGCCGCGTGATGGTTTGCAAAGTTGCGCGAAAGGCCATGTCGGCCCAGCTTCTGTGCTTCCGCTTGCTTACTCCTGCCATCTCCCCTCCCTGTGCTTGAGAGGCAGCAAAGGAGACAGAGGAGGGCACAGAGAAAGAGGAGGAGGACGAAGACGATCTAGATGCGTGGGCCCTAGCAGAGCATAAAGGGGTCCGCGTTGTGCGTCCCCAACAGTTCAGGAGATAATCATGGACACTGATGACGATGAGGATGACTTTGAGGCGCGTGACGGCAGGGCCTGGCAGTGCACTGGCTGTTTGTAAAATGTTCAGCCAGGCGGACGAAGAAGAGGGCTTTGAGGTCGCAGAAAACTTGGAGAGGGGGTGCACTTGAAAGTGCAAGCTGAGCAAAGTGTAGGACACAGAGGATGATGAGGACGAGGATGATGACGTGCTCTATGAAGAGGCCGCTCCCTTGCTGTCGTGCAGAGTGAGACGCTATACCGGAGTCAGGCTCTGTCGCGCATGTGCCTAGGATGAACTGGATGACGCTTACTTCAAACAGGACGAGGTGAGCACAATAGCTGAGGAGACATGATGGCAGCTTCCGAGTATTGATATCACTTGAAAGGATGGCGAGGTGTTGGAGGCGGTGTGCAGAGCGCGGTACTTGAAGGCCCAGCCGCAGAGCCGACGTATGTTTTTAATAGGCACCATCTGTCGTTTAGAGAATGTTTAGAGTTTTAGCTGCTCACTCTCAGATGTCTCAGGGTTCTCCCTGGAAGTTCCGCCGCGTGCTTTGGCAGATTCGAGGGAGGCCTGGGCCTGGGGCAGATGCGCGGAATGTAAAGTATGCCGCTGTGCTGCAGGCCTTATCGCGAGGCTTTGATGCTCCTAGAGACGCGTCCTTGGAAGGATTTGGCGTTTCCGTTGCCTCTCGAGCCTTGTCCATTTGCTCAGGTTCATGCCTTGGCGGGCATGTAGACCCACCTTAGTTGTCAGACCCTCAGAGCCCGAAGAGGAATGCCCTAGAAAGAGCACAGTTCTCAAAGTGGCA